AAAAAATTCTCATAAAGTACAATGATGGGAAAAAAAAAAAAAAAAAACTGTAATCCGCTCGCAGCCTAAAAAGTCAAAAAAGCTACACTTTCTGCTAATCTGTTCCCCTTCGAAAAGGGAATGAAGGAAAAAATCGTTACCCTCACGAAAAGAAAAAAGACCCTTCCCCTAAATGAAAAAAAAAAAAAAAAAAAAAAGTTAGTTTCCCTCCGGTTAACGCCCGGCGCGCAGAGTCCGCCCAATAATAACAATAGAGAGAGTCGACGAAAAAAGAGGAGTCAGGTCAACCGGATTTCTCCAACGCGCAATAAATACTTATATATCGTACGACCGGGTCTCTCTTCCTCCTCCTCTTTCTCTCTCACTCGATACCGTCCGAATTATACAGTGCACGGGAATATCGAGCATACGAGCTATGAGTATATTACACCCATGCCCACACAATACATACATGTGGTGGTAAATTATATTACATTTACAAGGAGGGGGGGGGCGGAAATAGCTCACCGAGAAAGGCGACGTTCAGTGCCTTGGGTAGGGTGGGACACTGAATCGACACTTTTGTCACGATGCCCAATGTACCCTCCGACCCGATGAACAAGTGCTTCAGGTGGTAGCCCGTGTTGTCCTTCTTCATCGTGTTCAGGCAATCTATCACCTTGCCGTTGGCCATCACCTATACACACACCGTACATGTACACGTTGTACCCAAACAACAAAAATATTTTTTGATATTGCCAAGTCGTGTAAAACAGTAGAGCTCGTTGTTACATTACTTTGTTTTTTTTTTTATTCTAGTTGTTAAATGCTAAACATTCCCAATAAAATTATTAATTTTTTGTAAGGAGGAATTTTGTAGTTGGGAAAATCTATTCATCGAAGGTCAAAAGAGATTAACACAACATATGTAAGGAGGATTGAGAATCAAGTGGAACTAATATAAACATGAAACATACGACATGTACATGTATATAGGTACAAGAAAGCAAGAGTGGGAAGCTCGTTAAAGCGTTTATAAAGGGAAATTGAGGCTGATTAAAAGGTTTTGTACGTAAGTATGTGTATATATATGTATAGGCTACGGGTGTTGTTCGTGGGCGCAGCTTTTTACCTCCTCAATGGTCGTTAACATTTACATTGTATTTCATTTGTATGTGACTGACGATTAAAGCTAGATAAAATCAAAAACTTGCCGTGAACGTATACGCGAGTTGAGAAACTGTGCATCAATATCGTACCGAAATTATAGGTGAAGCAATTTTTTTTGTGGGAAAATGCTGCGTATATTATTTAATATGGTATCAATATTGAAACACATTTGCAATAATCCCCACGAAATTCATGATAAACGTGTGAGAAATGAATTTCATCTAGCGTAAGGACGATGTGCACCTGTACGTGTTAAATGGGGTATGGAAGCGTAAGTATACCTGATGTGCATGATAAAATGATGAAACCACAAGCCAACGAAGGGAGGGAAGAAAAATTGCGTGTTGTTAGAGGAAAAAAAAAAAAAAAATCGAACAGAAAAGGAGCAGAGAAAGAAAAAAAAAAGGCTAAACATAAGAGAATCGAAATCAGATCTCGATCGTCACAAAATCGGTACGAGGGGTGTACCCATGTACCTCATGTATAATTATACCCCATAGTCTTTTAACACGTGTATTAGAAGAAGTAAAAAAAAATGCGCTTACAGCCTCGAGTCCCAGGACGTTCCCATGAAGATTGCCGTAGCGCAGTAGCCTCAAGCCTCCGGCGTTGGTGGAGACGTTGCCACCGATCAGGCAGCTGCCCTTGGCCCCGAGGTCGATCGGCATCATCAGACCGACGCGGTTCAGATGCTCCTCGAGCGTCTGCAGCACGCAACCGGCCTCGCACACCAACACACCTGTGCATATTTTTTTTTTTTTTTTTTTTTTTTTACAATTTTGTGAAAACCACAGTGTTTCAGAGGATATTTGTGGATACGTGCGTAAGTATAGTAGCGCGTAGCGTGAGCTCGGGTTGTTTGAACTTTTTGTTTCTCGTTGCTTAAGGGGTGGGTGGGGGAGGGGGGAAGATTTGATTGAGATGTTTGGGTGGTAGGTATACTTTATTGCCAAGGGATGTGTTTGATTCGTGCATTTGTTAAACGAGAGATTGCTTTATTGGTGTTATTTTCACGCCTGTGGTATGCACTTTTTTGTATTAATTTTTATTTACGTAATAAATGAAATAATAAATAAAAAATTTGTGGGATTTGAGAGAAATGAAACTGTTCCTTGTGAAATAGTTATGGTTTTTTAAACTTTTTTTACAACGGCTGTGTTTTGCATGCAAAGAATTTACTTAATTTAATTTGTTACGTATAAAAAAAAAAACAGTTTTTTATTTTCAGACCAAAATAACATATTAAGTATCTTTGTTTATTTATAAAAAAGGTAGTACCTCTATTTTTCATAAAAAAAGAAATATCTTGGACGTAAATTTAAAAAAAATCGTGATCTTCAACGATATAATTATATAAATCTCCCTTTACGAGAAAAAAAAAAAAGAACTCCCATACGTTGGTAGTGTATAAAAAAAGAAAGTATTTGAAAATGTATTTATAAGTTACAGGTTATTATTACGAAAAAAAAACTTTCCATTCACTTTAAACACAAGTTGTACGTTTTTCTCACCAAAAGTAGAGATAGGTGCCACTACTACAACATTCAACTCAAGAGTCAAAATTTACTCAATAGCAAAGCGGGACTACTATATGGTATAGGTATTTTTGTTCACCTAGGAATGTTCCCATTGGAATGGTCCATTTCACCTTTCACGGGTATATACTTATTGTTACGAGGGTACAGAGCCCGCGGGAGTCAAAAGTAGCAGCTACTGCTTTTTAGCCTATGATTTTATCATTATGAGCTATTAGCCGTGCCGCACTATTCGTATATATATATATTATATACGTCACACGTGAGAAAGAGATGGGTGCGTGCAAAATAATAAATCGCAATTCCACGAAAAGTATATACTACTCCGTCAAAAAAAAGTTACTCCGATGCTTGTCATTAATGCATCCCACGAAAAATTACACGCACGCGCATCTAATATGTATGTATGATGCACGTGCAAGTCGATTTCAACAACAGACAAAGTTTCGATGGTTTTTTTATTTTTTTATTAATTTTTTTTTCCTGTACCTCGCCTATTATATATATACACAAGCGCATATTATGTAAAAAATCATTCCCCCGCATTACCATACATCCACACTCTTACAAAAAAAAATCTACTCACAGCCCACCTGTCTGCTGATAAAAGAAATCCAGGCCCTTCGTATAAAACAGAAGATAAGAAAGGAAGCGAAAAATCGCAGCTTCCCCGAAAGGAAAAGAAGCAATGATCTCCGCGCGTGCATCACGCTGTATAGGACCTGAAAAATTAAAACGGGCCGTCGCAGCACGATCGAGGCCCAGAGCTTGGACTATATAGGTATATACACGTATAAAAGATTGGGCGGGAGGGTAAAAATTTGAAAATTAATCCTCCCCGCCTGCTCTCCTCGGCTCAACGTGCCCCTTTCAAGGTAAACCATACGTGTATGGGTTTCTCTGGCCGCGGCAGCGCAGAGGAAAAGGGTAACAGAAACGGCAGAGTATAGCGGGAGAGAAGAAGCGCCTCGTTGGATTACGGTACTTCCAGCCTCGCGTGTGTTGCGGACGTGTTAGCGAACGGCCCGGGATCTAGATTAGCGCCGTCATTAGGGAGCCCACGGGTGTACGGCTCTTATTAGTGGCTTATACTCTATATAGCTGTTTCTCCTGCCGCTGCGAACTTTTCTTTCGAGAGCAACCGCGGAGAGTCACACAATCGTGTATACATGTACTGTTGACGATACTCTTTACCAGTAAAACGATTTTACGTTTTTTTTTGTTTTTATATTTAGGAAGTACATGGCAATCGGTGCCGCGAATAGAGGACAATTTAACATATGAAATTGATAAAACTAGAAGTTCTTTGTGCACGAAAAAAATACCCCCAACCGAATTGTTATTACACGTAGTCTTTTTTGTCAGACAATCATACCTACCATTGAAGTTGTACACAATTGTATGAAGGTATAGTAAAATTTTGAGGGTTTAGATTTTTGTTGAAAAACGTGCCAATTAAGTTTTTCTTATCAGGAAAAAAGGTGTTTAGTCAAATGTGGCACAGTTGCGACAGATTTCTATCTTCGTATCGATAAAATTTTGTGTATCGTGACCTTCCCCCCGACCTCCCAAAAATTCCAGCAGTGGTAAACACAAATATTAATCATAACAAAAACGTTACAGTTTAAGAACATGAAAAACAGTAATTTTTCTTTTCATCCAAAATACATACCCGGAGCGAGCGAGATGCCTTTTGTTAAATTTTCAATCCTCCTCCATATACTGATGTTAAACAACATTGTACACATGCATATATATAAACCCAACTAATGCACCAACCGCAGCCTCCGAAAAAAAAAAAAAAAAAACTGAAAAGTCATACACCAATGTCCCGAACAAATATTATTCCAGCCATGCAGTGGTGGGTCCGCGTGTCTTTGGTTAAAAATGTGTGTGTGTGTGTATATGAGTGCGCGCGAGAAACTCAAACCTCGCCGGAGTCGAAGCGAAAGAAAAGAAACGAGAGAAAAGCCGAGGAAAAAAGGAGCCGAACGATGAGTCCTGCCGTGCTTCAAAAGAGAAAAGATAAAAGGAGAGCTGCTGCTGGCTCATGCACATCTACATGCACATATATATGTATACGTATATATAGAGGCGGCGGGCGCGGCAACAGCGTTTCTCGAATCTGGGGCCCATTATCGGCTCGCGCCCCGAAAAGCCAACCTTGGCTCCTCTCGCCTATTATGTGTATAATATATATACTAACGACACGGCTGCGAAGCACTTTATCTCTCTCTTTCTCTTTCAGTGTTCGTCCTGACCACCTACTGATGTCCACGTGTTTGTGGACGAGAGCGCGTCAGGCACGAACGACGCACGACCCTTTTTTCCTTCTTTTTTTTTTTCGAATACAAAAGGACGAGCTTGGACGCCATTAAGTATATTGGCTCTCCCTCTCTGCTCGGGGCCATTTGCATACACATATCGGGAACAACGGGCGGGGAAATTTCGGGATCTTTTTTTGTCCCTCCTCCTCCAAACGCATCCTTAGAAACTCAGCTGCTGTCAACGTGCTCTACAGCCACTGATATATCGGTATGTATCCTTCGCGGTGTATACAGGCAATTCGTCATAGTATTGAGTGATAGATATCATCAACAGAAAAAAAAAAGAGGGAAAAGTCCTTACCGGACAGCTCGTCGGTGTGGATGATTTTGTTCATGAGTTTCATAGAGATGACGATTTCGTCGAAGACCGGCACGCTGCCGCCTACGAGGCCGGTGTTGCCGCTCTGGGGACAGACGGCCAGCCGCTGCTCGTTGCAGTACCTCAGGATCGCCGAGACCTCCTCGGTGCTCTTTGGCTTCAGGACCATTCGGCTCATGCCTAAGGAAGAGGAACGACTTTTTTTTCTCTCTCTTGTATAAACAAAGAGATCGAGGACTCGCAGCCAAGACTCCCGAACAAATTGACATGCTTCCCCCGAGCAATCGACATGGGCAGATATAATTCATATGTGCACCGAGAGAAAGAAATAATAAAAATTACCAGAATATGGTCATCTGGTATGTACCGTTTGGTTCTCAAGAGACTTTTTACTATACGAACAATCATTTTTATCGCAAGTATGATTTTTTTTACTGTTTGCGTATACAATAAAAATAACTGTCCAGCAATCGAATGATAAAGATTATAAGTTGCCAAAAAGTAAAAGGCCCCTGTAGACGGCGAAATGGCACCAAAATGCCATTCTAGGACAGTTGCAGGCAACAAACGAATGGTTTATTTTTATCGTGGGTAAAATAAATAAGGATATTTAATGAGCCAGTGGCCCCGAGTCCAATCTTACCCCTCAAAGAAAACCTTACCCCTGACGGAATTGAGCCAGTCCACGTTGTAGATTTCGCACTCGTCGGCGTCGGTGATGACCCGCTCGGAGCCCAAGAGGCCTGTGAAGAAGCTCGCTTGAGCGTCGCCGATAACCGCGTAAGGCCCGCGCTCGACCTTGTACCGCACGGCCGTCGGTTCGGGCTGCGTTTTTGCAGATGAGAAACGATAACCGATGCTGCTCCCCAGTGGCCATTTCACGCACAAGGCCCTTCGCGCAGTATGCATCGTTGTGATTTTTTCGGATGGTCTTTCGTTGCAGGTTCACCTGTAATCAAATGTAGAGGAGAGTTTGGTTTAGTCGGTTTTTGTGAGTAATTATCTACGTGGATTAAATGATCATGTTTATAGAAACTGGGTGTTTTCTTATACCAATGATGGCCAATGAGGAAATTCTTTTTTTTCACGGGTGAAATCGTCGTTGCGTTTAAAAATCGAGACTTACGCTATTGTCTTTATATTGGCATAGGTACACGCCACGGCGAGTATCATTTTTAAATACTTTTGTATGTTTGTAAATACGTGCACAATTACAGGAGACGTGGGTGGGTTAGTGGGAGATTTTCAAACGAATCACAGTTTAGATAACAACTCGATAAAAAACCAAAATTGTTTTTTCCCACCCGGTACGATTTGCCATTAATTGTCTATTATATGAAAGACGGAAATCCCGAAATGACATCATGACATTGTACGTATCTGTGAATGTAGATTGGGTGTATTTTACATACACTTTTTCGGGCTAATATCGTAAAAATTATAATCATTTATGACAAAATGTCAACTCGGGGAGAAAAAAAAAAAAAAAAAATTCTACTTTTATCAAGTCGTTAACCAAAGAGGACTTGTAAATTGCATTAACTTCGAAATTTAAACTTTTCTCACTCAAAAGCCGTCTGTGTGGCCAAACAAAAATCGGCCCGAAGCGCAATGAGTCGTTAAATTTTCTTTGGTTCGTCTGACGGGCGCAGCTCGAAAAAAAAGCAAGCTCCAAGTGCCGAATCTCAACCCCGCACAGCCCGGCACTGTGCACACACCACAAATACACATCACGTACAGTGACAAAGGATTCCCCCGGAAAGGCCGAATTTCAAGCTCTTCACGCGCGCTCTCCCCTCGTCTCCCCCGTTCACCTGGTGGCCCACACAGCCCACGGGACTCGAACAAAACGGCCTCTCTTGTAATAACATGTATACCTACATAACAAAACCAACAATGAGGATCCAGGCCCGCACGGCTCCTCTAACTCCTTCGTTTATTCGCGCGGACGAAATACAACACGGAATTCCTTGCGGAGGGACTGTATACAGTCTACTGTGCGCACTTTTTTCAATGTGTGTTATTGTACGTGCTCCGCGTTGCGTTTCATATACATATATATATGTACGCGCGAAAGTGCGGGCGGAAGCGCAGAGTTGCCAACTGGACTCGCGGCCGTTGTAAGTATATGATGTCTTGCAAAGGAAGGAAAGAGGAAGAAAAAAATGCGACCAGTCGAGGAAACGACGCACGCGCTTCCTTCTTCTTTCGCTTTCGTGACTCTTTTTTTTTTCCACCTATATAATACACCTTAATATGGGCTCATGAAGCGTACCTCCGAGTGTCACATGTGGCACGGCTGCGAAGGTATATAATATATCATTACGAGAGAGAGAACTTGAACTCTTGCCAAGAGTTTTCTTTTTTGGAGCTGTTGGATTAATTGATTTTAACCTATGGTCGAGCGAAAAGTTGAAAAAAAAATGCAAAATTTATGTTTCAAACAGTACAGGGTTTTCAAAATTGCTGAGTCTCTTCATTTGTGACACATCATTAATATACCTGAGCGTCAGTGAGGCATATCACTGTAGTTTTATTTCGAGAAGTAGTTTATTGGTAAAAAAGCTCATACCTTTTACAAATTTTATCATAATATGAGGTGAAACAAGCTATATACGAACGGAGATATCTGTATTTTTTTGTATTGGTTTGTGTTCTTGTAAAAAAAAAAAAAAAAAAAAAAAAAAAAGGAATTTTATATACTAATGCATTGTAAAAATATGTTAATCTAAAGGTTGAAAAAAAAAAAAAAATTGTTTATCCATACCATAATATTAAGAAAATAATCTTTTATCTTTCAGTGCCCATAGGCCAGAATTATCATTATTATTTTTTTTTTTTACCAAATCTTCGGTATTGTATTTGTATGAAAACCAACGTGTCACAATAAATTGCACCAAAATCGGATCAAAAGATCAGGTAATCACGAATTAACGCCACTGCGTGCAAAAGACGAATATAGTACAAAGAGCTGGTTCTCAAGGATCGATCAATTAATCGAGACGTATCCCAACCGTATAAATTAATGAAGCGATGAGTACCGCAAGACTCTCTCTCTCGAGATAGAGAGAGACGAAAATAAAATAGGGGAGGCCCCCGCTAACACGAGAGCCGATCTCTCCACACCATCCCTGTGTTCATTGACACGGTACCTTACACAATCAAGACAGGTATAGGTGGGCAAGGTAATAAGAGCTGCTGTACGAAAAAGAAAAAAAAAAAAAGAGGGGGTCGGTGATGTATAGTTACATTACGAGCTCCAAAGACTCGCGAGGTGCACAAAGGAAACGAGGAAGGAAGAAAAATAAAGGTATCGAAGGGGGTGGGGAGGATGGAACGAAGGGGAGGGGTGAAAGAGAAAGAGAGAGAGAACAAGAGGAGAGGAGTGTACAATTACGTAAATTGCCCCGCGTGTGCCCCCAAAGTGGTGGCGAGAAATAATCCCCTCCCCTTCGCTCTCTTTTCTCTTTCTCACTTGTATAAGTATCGCGCGGACTAACGCGCGTTCCCTGACTCCACCCCGAGAGTGTCGAATGTGTGTGTGTGTGTGTAAAGAGAAGAAGATTGTACTATGTATGCAAAAAGGGGGGAACACGCGACTCAATTGCTGCTTGGCAGCAGGTCAGAAGGGAGTCGTCGATGTTCCTTACTTTTGTGTGGGTATAATATCAATATTGTATTATTATTATAGGTATACCCGCGAGTGCCACGTATACGTGTATACATGAAACGACGAGTCTTCTTGAAAAACCGCCCCGAGGAAAAGAGGAAACGGGCTTCCAACCCACCCCTTTGGTTGAAATGTATATACGCACATGTTTATACGAACGCGCGTGTAATTATACGTGTATACTTTTATATATAGGTACATTTGGGTGCATGACTATTGTTGTCATTTTTCATTTTTCATTGTTTCTGCCCTTTGTGCGCCATAATTGTTGTTTCATAACGAACATCGCGAATATTGAAATGTATGTCGTTTTGATTTATTTTTTTTATAAGCTTTATGGCTACAGGAGATATTAATTTTAATTGATTTAATATCAAGGGGTGAAATCGAGACGAGCCTATACAGGATCACCGATTTGGGAAAAAGAGTATGCTAAAAAATAAATCAACGTGACCCTAATCATGTAATTATCTTTATTGGTGAATGTATGTCAAATATTCACCATCGAAGAATTGCTAAGGTATAGGCGTCAACGTGATATACGCTCCTAAGTATGGAATGATCATTTATATAGATAATGATAAAAAAAAAGTATAACCCCGCAAGACGAAAAAAAGAAGATTGTATGTGAATGTACGTACATGGCCATCACCGGATCGATAACTATATGTACGTGAAGAACAGTATTGACTGTGGGGCGAAATCAACAGGTAGCGCGTCAAGTGCTCCGCTGTACCTTATATATATATGTATACCTGCGCACGTCCCGTATAGCTATATAGCGCTGTCTGTTTTTGGATAATCCATACGTGTGATTTATTCATTGGACACCGGGGGAAGTTGAAAATGGGTCGTGGTGATTTCGTTGGATGAATCGTTATTTTCGTTCACTTGGATAAATTATACGTCTGCGCGAGATCTTTGGTAAATTACAGTGCTTTCAGCGACAAAAGTTATCGATTGTCCTGTATTACTGTAATGACGGGTCTATATGGCATATACATGCAGGGTAAAAAAGGTTGGTGTACATGAAGAGTTAAATATGGAAACGTCTCGAGCAGGTGTGCGACTTTTCAGTTCGAGATGTAACGTTATCCAAACGACCAAAACCCAAGGCAAGACGGAAAACAAAAAAATTATTGCATTTGTCATCGAGTCATTTTTTAATTTTTGATATGGTCATTCTCAAAGGGGACTTTTTTGCTCTTGTAAACACATGATTCTATAAACTCAACGCGTCTCAAACTCCAACAACGTATATGTTTGCCAGATCGACGCTCGACCCACTGGTCTGCACCAAACTTGGCATGAAAACCATACAATCATATACCTATTCGAAGATAATTCATAAAAACAAGGAGAAGCCAGGATCCACGTAAAACACCACCTCGAAAAAAAAAAAAAAAAAAAAAAAAAAAAGATGAGAAGAAAAAGTTGATGAAAAACGTGTTAGCGAGTCCAGGTGCGGGAGGAATGAATTTTCCAAAGGACGACCGCGAGTCGGGGAGGGGTGAAGGAAATGCCCCGAAACGACACCGGCGGCTTCCCTTTAACTACACATCCACCCCTCGAAATGATCAATTACGCACATGCACGCGCACACATACACGAAGCCGTCCTTTCTACCCCCCCCCCCCTATATAGCCCTTCTTTGGATGTTAGTGTCCCCTGTACACGCACGCACACGGCGATCGCATGTAAATCCAACGCCGATCGGAAGAGTAAATAATAATGTACACGGAGAGGGGGAGAGGAGATGGATAGAGATAAAGAATAACACAGAAAACAGGGGGGGGAGGATGAGGAAGGGTATAGGCACGAGCGCGTGAGTGTCCGGGTACATGTACAAGGGGGGAAGGTCGGGGAGGGGCGCGACATCGACAGCAGTGGCAAACTGTATATATATATATATGGCTCGGGTGTAAAAGGTAAGGGGGGGAGAGATGAAGATCGAAAATGCCGGCGGCCGATTTTGCGTGGGCCATGTTTGGGTGGGCACTTTTGGCTAATGACGCCTGGCGAGCGCGCATATAATGTATATACGATGCACACCTCTCGCACCTACATATATATACAATTACCCCAATGCGGATGGATGCTATCGGTGTCGTACATCGTGTTCCATTTTCTTTTTTTTTTCTTTTTTTTTCTTTGCTTCTAGCTGGTGTGTGGTAGAGTACAGTGCGTACCGGAGCGCCGATATACTGATCCGATTGTCTCTCCCTTGCGTAATGTATTTTCGGGGAGTAGCCGGAGTTGCCGTGTTGTAATGGGTTTAG